CCAGACGATCTCACTACACTTTCACATGTTACCCCCGGGTTCAAACCATTTACTGCAGAGAGAGTTTTATTGACTTGAAGAATGTTCCTTATTTTTTACAGCTAACAGGTGAGAGGACATATAAGTACGTTAAATAGTTTTCATAAATTCTCCGGTTTTTTTTGTTTGTTTGTTTGCGAACCTTCTGCGAGCCCGTATACTTAAGGTAAGTTTAGGAGGTAGATTTAGGAAGCCACACTACAGTACGCTAACGATTACAGCGGTCAAACGTAGCCTGGGCATGCGCATCTGGGTCAATTTTAGCCCATCGTACCCCAATTTCCCCCGCAAAATTTCAATGGGAATTTTTAAAAACAACCGCTCTAACGCAAAATTTGCAAAAATAAATTGAAACGTTTATACTGATAATTTGCGAAAAGAAGCTAAAGTATGACAAAGAAAACTTGCGACCTCACGATCAAGAAGTTTATTTAATTACTGGTTTTCTGTTAGGTTACAATTTAAACTTCCATAATGCGTCGTAGCTCGAAAAGAGAAGGAACCTAAATCTATCATTTGTGAGCAGATTTTTTAAATTTAATTTCTCTCATTCTTGACATGAGCACCGAGGCGAAACTGAATTTCGCTTCAAAAACCGCGATGGATACGCAAACCAAGTGCAACTTTGAGAATTCAACTCTAACAAATGGCATGAAATTTTTAAAGGACTGACTTTAAAAAACGGTTTTCAGGGGAAGAGAAGGGAGGAACAGTCATCCCCACCAGATTTACACGAACAAAGCTTTTTCTTTCTCCAGTTATTCACCTCTTCAGAGCAATAAAACAGATATCTTCACAATTTGCTTGCAAAGAGGCAAGTATCATTTCTTCAACTCTTGTCGTTGACCGTTGGGGAAAATTTTACTTTAAATCCGTATTCCATTCAAACTTTGTCGGTGGGATTCTGTGAATTCTTGTGATATGTGTTCGGCTCGATCTATTATTTCCCTCTCTTTCCTTCCCTCAATAATCTTTCAGTTAAGACAATGGACCGACTCTTTCAACAATAGAAACTATTAACGTTAGTATTTTATGTGCATATTCTGGAGGTTAGTTAATCTTGATTACGACCCTTTCTTCAATAAATTGTCCAAAATAACCGGAAAAGTTCGTGACTTCCAATCAAACTCGCTTACCGCTGCTTCCTGTTTATTTTGTGAAGTCGTTAGAACGTTAATTTGGAATCATGTACCAGGTGACAAAGCTAAATTAGGCCAAGACCATCATCTTAATTACACCGCCACAAGGTGATATTGAAAATGATTTGAATTATAGCAGAAAAATAGGCTGTGTGCTTTATAAAAGCGGTTTCATCGCTTTATCGTTCGCCGACATCGGCGCTTTGCGGAGGATGATAACTGAGTTGCAGGGTGCAAGCGGCTTTTCGAAGTTTTCGGAGCTGCTACGAAATGAAGCGGTAAATTTTTACTATCAAAGGAAATTTAGATATTCCTTGTGTTGACTACAGTTTAGTTATAAAGTCTTCACTGGTCTTTTTAATGGAAAAAAGAAATCCTTTTTGATAAAAGAGAGAATATCAATCGCTTAAAGATGAATGGCATATCAACTAAATGTTGCGTAACTGTGTTATTGCTTAAAAAAAAGTGTCTCTTCTATTCGGCTGAAAAGCGGCAGAATCAGAGAGAAATTAAAATCAAACTTTTCCTTTTATAGAAACACGTTTTAGCCCGTTGTATGTACGCAGCTAGTAGACCCAAACAATGTTGAACAGCGTATTTAAGAAGAAAGTCTTAATCGACCACCAATTGTCTTTTGATTTTTATCGTCTTAGACACGGCTGAAACAGTCTTTCAATTTAAGACTAGGAAGAGGACAAATTACTTATGTCAACAGCCATACATCACGAGCTTTAATTTGTAGTTTTATTTTATATTCTATGATCATTGAGACAACCGCCGCCAAATCTACTCTATTGAGCGTGAAAGAGAGATTTCATATCAAATTAAATATGATGCCGTTTGAAAGCTTGAATGAATACAGTCTATTGGTTTTTACGACATTGAAAAATGCTTCCGCTCGTCTCGACAAAACGTTTCAATAATGGGTCAAATTTTGAATTTCGATTTAAGGTGATTTAACCGTCAGTAACGTGCTTGGGGTTACATGATCGAAAGATACCTCGTGCTCTAGAGCCTTCTGGAATCATATGGTGAACGCAAAAACAAATGAAGAAGTCAATTCATCGTAATTAATTCATGAGCACTGTGTTTGTCATCATCTGCTCATAGCAGATTCACGAAGGAAATACACTCGAAATAGATTGAGATGGTACCAAAGAACCAAATGAATTATTATATTTCTGTGTTTGAGTTCTTTAGAGTTCTATTTACTGAAGCATTACGCCCTCAGACTTGACATAGTTCACAAAGCATTGCCAGGTACGGTGTTTTCAAAGACTATCATTTACAACAGCTTAAACGAAAGAAATGATCTCACCAGGGGTGGCCTTTCCTTTGCAATCAAATATAACATTTTCCAGCTTGGATTAGACTTTATTCACGAGAGGTCGTTTCACGCAGCATGCTCAAAACACTATCAAACACGATTGACCAATCTAAAGAAATTGCTCCGTTAGGGGTGGACTTGAAACCACTTTGTTGACAGAATTTTGACTATAATCACTCTCTACTTTCAGGAATAGTATTCTGCCAGAAGTCATTATCACCGAGAAAAATTTCCGGAAAAAAAAAGAAGAAGAAGAGTCGTCTGATCAAATGGCCGCGCCGAAACTTCAACACCAAAATTACATCCTGAACCGTGAAGAGTGAGAAAATCTGAACCTGTGTTGGACTGTGCTCACAAAAATTCTCTTGAACGAAATTTCGGAAAAAAAAAAACATAATAATACACTCATTGAAAATAGGATAGAGTCACGAGAAACTCAGAGATTTCCAGCTTAGCTGAGTAGTTGGCAAAAAACTGCCTTACACCATGTACTGCTCAAAGCTAGAAAATACTTTGTGAGCGAAAACATCCTTTATCTTATATCCTTTGTTTTAGCTTTTTGTATGAACCGAAAAGCAGTTGAGAATATTCGATATACAATGGATAAACCGCTGTTCTGAGCAAAATACGAGCAGAAGATCTGTGGGCATCTGACAATCAATTTTCTCAAAGAAAGCTCTACATGCATTTATGGCCAGCCGAGAAGCAGCTCAGAGTACGCCAACTTTCAAGTTGGATGAACTTCATCCACTCCCACCAATACAGGTGCTCAGTTTGTTTACTTTTCCTAATTTTTTGAGAACACATTGCATCAAACGCATGAACTCACGACTGACCTCAAAACAAATAACACTATGGAAACAAAATATCTTGCTGTTTAGTCATCGATCTTTAGTGTACCTACCACCTGTTCGCAACATCAAAAACATTTCTTTTTTTTTTTTTAAAGATCAAAATTATAATCTAACTTTTTTTTCTCTTCTTTTTCTGTTATTTCATTTTGTACCTTTGAACTTGATTATCCATTGACTGACAGCCTCAGTCAAGGGAAATGTTAAGGATCCGTCCTGTTTCAGATGGCGTCGTTCTCCATCTTTTAGCGTGGTCGGCAGCGAAGCGGTTATCAAGGACAATTAGGATCTGTTTTGCATGTGGTGATGAACACAAAAGCAATCGACATTGCAATTTTCAAGGCGCTAGATAAACACTTTTGACCTTCCATAATTGCTGCGTAATTACTTTTCGGCCTTTGTGGATCGTGTAATAATAAGGGAGTTCCGACCGAGTGGTTTGAATTACAACAGAATTGTTCCCTGTTAAAAGGATCGGTCTGAGACTGAAAAGTTTAGAGGTCACTCTTCATGTACCAAGTTCCTTGCGGAAAAAAGATTACACAAGATCGACGAGAATGAATAGAAAAGCAGTTTGTGTTTTTCTTCTAGCGATGCTGGTTGTATCAATGGTCAGTGCCGCGGGACCGGGTCAACCTAATCGCCATGGAAAGAGAACGGACTCAATGGTAATTCGTTATTCGTATTTTTACGCTATTTTTCTGTCATTTTTAAAGACACGATATTTTTGATAAAGAGATATGGACGTTAACATTTGGTCAGTAACAACTCATAAAAATTTCAGTCGTAGCCGACGCCAACTTTTTCCTTCTGTCTAAATGGCTTAATGATAACAACGCTTCGGTAAAATGAACATCATATCTAGACTTGCCTCCTCATCATTTCAAAAATATCCCTAAAACTGAGAGCCAACGTTTAATTTCATTTGGTAACACATTCCATATTCTTTGTTTGCTGATCCAGGCAAATGGTATAAAATATTCTTTATTGTAGTATGAGGAGCTCTTCGCATGATAATTCCTTCCAAAAAAGACCCAATTTAAACCTTTCCGTTTCTTTTTTCAAGAGAAATTCTTAGATTCACGACGATACCTTACTAGTTTTTTTTTTTTTTCACTTTTTTAGCATCCTGTATCTTTTATTACATACCTTCATGATTTTACCTATTTCTATCTTTTTTTTTTTTAACACAGAGTCTGATCAGGAAGAGGGAGTACTGTGTTCGCGCCAGGATGATTTGTAATTCTGCAGAAGAACTTCAAGATGAACCCGCACTACCAGCTTTTGAGAGCGAATAAATACGAGTGCAAATCAAAACAATTGCAATGTCAAATTCTTTTAACTCAAATAGTTGTGATATGCAAACAGAATTGTAAAGTTATCTCTTCAATAAATCATTCCTCATACGTCACGTGGTCGTCTCATTATGTTTGGGTCATCTCTGTTTTTAAAGGGGCATAGACCGACTGCAAATAGGGCTGACTACTCAGTAAGCCCGGGTTGAGTTTTACGAAAACGAGGTCAGCCAAGCTTTAGGGTTTGTTTTGAAAACGCGTCTCTTGAGAATTAATCTCTTTGTCGATATATTCTGTTCTATTACGTGTTCCTAGACGCCGACAAAAGGGAGGAAAATCTTTCATAAGAAAGAAGGTTTCTTTTTTTAAGTTTCTACGTTCGCAAATGAGGAGAAAAGAAAACCGTAAGTAGATTAATGCAATTCGTCAATACGAAGGACTGACTAGCCTCGCTTTGATACAACTGTACCCAGGCCGACCTGTGGTAATCTGCCATATTTACATTCTGTCCATACTCGAGGAGGTTTACCAACTGAAAATCATGTTGAGACTCGGAAAACATCCGGGGAATGTCGGAGACTCCGAAACTAAGATATTGCTTCAGAAAACCAACTAGGCCCACTGAAAATTGTAAGAACTGCATATTGCAGAGTTTGGTTTTAGGCAATAAGGTAGGTTTTAACGGGGCGCATAAATACAAGCGATGAGAAAACATAAGACCTCAAATAGGCTTTCCCATGGTGTAGCCATGGGCACCAAAATGGGACCTAGCCATGCCAATCTTTTTGTAGGTCTTGTCCAACATCAATTTTTCAGCCAATACAACGGGTCCAAACCTGAACTCTACGGTCGCTACATCGACGACTGTATCGGCGCTACCTCCTCTACCAGAGAGGAGCTCACTCAATTCATAACCGCAGTCAATTCTTTTCACCCTGTTCTGAAATATACCTGAGAAATTTCTGACAATACTTTATCCTTTTTAGACATCAAAGTTTCAATTGAAGGTAACGGTTTATGCACTAGTGTGTATTACAAACCTACAGACTCGCATAATTACTTGTTATGTTCGTCTTCGCATCCATTTCACGTTAAGAAATCCATTCCTTTTTCTCAGTTTCTAAGACTTCGTCGTTTATATAGTGATGACTCTAATTTCCACCACAAATCAGAGTCAATGTGCCAGTTCTTCGATAAACGACTAGTTACCCTGTTTCTCTCATTCAAGCAGGTTACCACTGCGCCCAACTTATGTTCGTCTTCGCATCCATTTCACGTTAAGAATTCCATTCCTTTTTCTCAGTTTCTAAGACTTCGTCGTTTATGTAGTGATGACTCTAATTTCCACCACAAATCAGAGTCAATGTGCCAGTTTTTCGATAAACGACTAGTTACCCTGTTTCTCTCATTCAAGCAGGTTACCACTGCGCCCAACTTATTGATTGACATTCAGCACTACAAACGTCGCATAAGGGAGATTCCGACCGCATTCCATTCACTCTCACGTTTCACCCTCACAACCACTCAGTTAAATCCATCATTCTTAAAAACTTTAAATTACTTCAAAACAATCCAGAGACAAGCACTATCTTTTCGCAGCCTCCACTCGTTTCATTCAAATGCGACAAAAATATAGGCAATTTTTTGGTCTGAAGTTCTTTTC